AATATATTGTTAGAATATCTTTTTTATATATATTTCACTTTCATATTTAAAATCGCAGTATCGAAGTTCTGTAAGAAAAGTATATTATTAAATTGGAATAGGAGGATAAATTGTTAGGATATCTTTCTTATATGAAATCGTAGCAATGGAATACCTAATTAAACCTCTGATAATGAAATTCATACCTCAACTCAAGGCAAAATTCTTTTTCGAATGGGAGAAAATTGAACTCTTATGTGAGCTCGAAATAGTTACCTAAATCGATCATCGATAAAACGTACAACTCCACACAGGTGGACATTGTTAAATAGATTTTATTCCTACCCTGAACCTTATCAGTACTCTCGGTACTTTTTATCTCGTCAGAATTGGCAACAATAGGCTTTGAGAACTGATCTCTACGATCAAGAACGCCCAGGCAATTTATTTTCATTTTATTTAGTAAGGAAAACCGCGAATTTATTACAATTTAACAAAATTTCGCTGGAACACTGAAACAGAATATAAATTAGATTGACAAGATAAATAATTCATACGACTCACCATTCGTAACCTTTGAGATACCCTTAGTGACCCATTTCAGTCCTCCCAGCCTTCGATTTTGACCCACAATTCACTTGGAAGCTTCTCTCAGACCCATGACACTTTTGCAATTCCCTCAGTGGACCATTGAATTCCCCTCAGCCTTGAATTTTCATCCCACCAGTGGCCCACAATGATAGATTGAAAGACTCAAAGCCAATGCCCAAGACCCACCAGACTTGGAAAGCTGTGAAAGGGTGACGCGCGAAAAGTGGAGTACGAATCGCGATTTATTTTCATTTTCAGGGATTTTGTTTAGTACCCGAAACCGCGAATTTTTATTATCCTCCATATTTTCCTGTAGTTGATTTTAGTTGGGACATTTAGCAAAAATTCAAAAAAGAAAAGAGAAAAGAAACGCAAAAATGGAAAAAGGGACGAAGCTATTTATCAAATGCTACGCGACGTGATAAATTCTCGTATCGATAGAAAGTAAATGGGAAAATTGACTCTAAATTGAATTAACGCGGTATACTACTTTGATACTCTAATAATGGGAGGGCGTTTGCACCATTAGTGCAATAGAGTCCATCCAGTTCTTCTTTGACCTCTTGGTAGTTCAGCTTCGACATGCACATGCACACACATATATAACCAACCACCAAACCCTCAAAAAATTCACTCACAATTCGCAGATTAAGCAGCTGGGCTCTGCAACGTAGATTTGGCTGCCTGGCTGCATTGCCTCCTTCCTTCCTTCCTTCCATCCTCTCAGATCGTCATCCTTCCGCAAATCATTCCAGTTCCTCGTCGTTGATTTCCCAAGACTCACAGACTCACAAAATGTGAGTCACTGTGGAATGGACGACGCGAAAAGTATTTCGAAACGCGATTTATTTAAGAGGGGAAACCGCGATATTATATTATTCTCGATTTTTAGAATGAAGTTAACTTTAAATAGAATAAACGTAAAAAAAAGAAAAGAGATATGAAATAAACGCGATGTATATAAAGCAAAAGAATAAACCGCGAATTGATATCTTTCCCGAATCTCTAACGCAAGTAAATTTGAAGGAGGGTATCGATTAAACGCGTAAAAATATTCAATATAAAGCGAACTAGGGATGAAGCTATTATAATACTCAATGCAACGACTCTAGTATTTACTAAAATTCAAAAATTCTCGTATATATTCCGAAAACCGATTTTTAATTGCGAAACACTACTGAGACGGTTTAATTTGGGGCAGCCAGCTCATATCTGAGTTGGCAATACACAACACAACTAACTACTAAACCAAATCACCAGAAAAAAAACCCATTTTTGTAACTCACTGTTCGCTGATTAAACAGCTAAGCTCTGCAACGTGGATTTGACTGCATTTTCTCCTTCCTTCCACTCAGATCGTCATCCTTCCTCTCAGATCATTACAGCCCCTCAGTGTTCATTTTCCAAGACTCACAGACTCACAAAATTCGAGTCACTGTGGAATGGACGACGCGAAAAGTACTTCGAAACGCGATTTATTTCAATTTTATTCAGAAAGGGAGAAACCGCAAATTTGTATTATTTTCAATATTATTATTGAACTAAACTTTCGTAGAACGCGAGTGAAAAATTGAAAGAATCAAAAGAAAAAACGCGAATTCGTATCTTTTTCGATTCTAAAATATAAGAAAATTTGA